CTTTTCTGACAAACTCACTCTCCTCCCCACCTTTTTCCACCTCCCAAACCTCTCCAATTCAGTTTTTTTTTGGTTAAATCAATCAACAAAATACCCCATATAACTTCCATTCAACGATAAATGCAAACGGCGGAGGAGAGCCCGGGGTAACAAACAGGAGGTTGTGATGCACACGCCGTGTTCCCCACGTCCACAGCTCAGCGGGGTGGGGAGAGAGGGAAACGTCACACAAAAATGGCTACTGAAAAGGAAGATAATTAATCCTAATTGAGGATCCTGATTTCCTCCCACAACCAGCCCGAGTTGAAAACAGACCGAGCAAATAAACATGGAAAACGGGCGGGGGATGGGAAAATAAAATTCTCGTTTATTTCTTTTCCTTTCCTTTCATTATTTGTTTTATTTCGTTTTACTTTTTGATTTAATTTTACTTTTTCATTTTTTTCTTCTTTTTGTTCGTTTTTGGTCTTTACAAATGCTTCGCGGTGATGAGAGAACACAAGCCATAAAACAAAAGGAGAAAACGAAGATTTAAAAGAACGAAATAATCGTTTATATTGATACGATGTTTTATCACGTGAGCGGTTGTCGATTTGGAGTGCTGCTACACGAAATTCATCGAAAGATAATAGCGGGCAGGGCCGGAGTGAACATAACTCGTCGTCTGCCCGAGGGGGATGAGAGCGAGAGGTTATCACCGTGTTCGCCTCCATCTTGGTCCACGGTCGTAAAAGAAAGGCGCTTTTAATTGAGGCTCATTACTAAGGGAAGGGACTGCAATAAGACGATTTTTCTGTGACAGTCACGCTGGAAGCAGGCCTTGCTTTGTGTGTTTTTTAAAATCGGGATGTTTTTTTGTTGTTTTTTTTGTTTGTTTTTTGGTTAAAAAACATTAAGGTTAATATTCTTTTAATTAATTATACCATGACCGTTTCTTTGTCGTTTCTTTGGTCGTCACAAAGACCCTTCAACATCAACAGCACGAGATTAAAGCTGTACCTTTGCCTTTCAATTAGAACTCAACTCCACCTAACCACGAAGACAATAAACACACAATCGATTAATAATACAGATAGCTACACAGACGTAAAGACAGACAGACACACACGTTAGAGAGCCGGCCTGACAGACAGACAGACAGACAGACAGACAGACAGACAGACAGACAGACAGACAGACAGACAGACAGACAGACGGACAGACAGACAGATCTCCGATAAAACTGAATTGAGAGGGAACAGAGTCCCCCTCCAAAAAACGCACACACACACACATACACACGCACACACACACACACACACACACACACAC